TGTAGCAGCAATTGCAGCTATAAAAGTTTGTCATCAACCTTAAAGTAGTCAAATAACATTGGGCACTAGACATAAAGATGTAGAGACATTGTTACTTGATCTCAGGATGGAAGGCTTGAAGGCTATTATCAGAATTTACCTCAGAAAAATGCGCGATCAAATGTCCATGGTACTTTTTTATAAATGGATGCTGGTTATACACCTACTTGTCAGTTTGGTGTCAAGCAGTTTTATCCTGGTTACGGTTACTGTAGGCGTTAGCAGAAATCTGAATGCATACCACAAGAGCAACCTTACGCCCAGTGCCATGTCTATAAAAAGAATCACAAAGGGAATTGCTGGTTAAACAGAATCATTCCTCACAAGCTTAAAGGTTTGGCCTTCACGAAACCACTTCAGGAATGTTTTCTTATATATGACTGTCATTTCGAGACGAACATAAAGACTGAAAATCGTTTTCAGTGCTGCATTGGAACTTTATTCTGAATGAAGTTATTCGTGTGAACTTTGTTCTGTCTTCTGCCCTCATTTGGCTTATTCAGGACAAAGCGGTGTACATTGAATTATTTCCATTTTTTGCTTCTTTCTACTGAGTATTATGTTTGACCAAACTGCTGGCTTTCTTCGCTGAAGAAAGTCCGGCTGCAACCTCCAAGGCTCTAATTTTGAATCAAGGATTGACAACGGCACAGACAGCTCAAAGGGAAGATTCTTCACAGTTAGCGATTAAACTTATCGTTAAAGCAGTTGAAGAATTGACCGCCTTGCCTACAGTTGAAAGAATGATGAATTGCAGGGAGGGATTTCTCGCGTGAAATGAATACATTTATTTTTCGACACCTCTTAATTGGTTTGTATATTTTTTGTTATTCTTGGAAAACTGCTTGCCTAACACCTTACATGGGCTAAACTTATTTAAGTCGACTTTCAAACTTCAAACAGCCTCGCACTTCGTCGTTGTCGGCACGTGAAATAGAAAATAAGGAAATTTTCCTCATTTTACGAGGCAGAATGGCGACGCTCCAGAAAAACAGAATGTACTCTTCCTCTTCCAACTTGACAGAGAATTAAAGAAAAAATGCAACACAGGCAATAAGGCACCAGGCATGATTCACGTCACAGAAATCATGATCTGTGCAAGTAGGCATAAGATTCAACATCATGCGGTCTGTCCTAGCAACAGGAGAATCTCTGTTAGCGTACTACTCATATATTCGCTTTGATTACTCAAATACTCATTAGAAAGCAATGAAGACATATTTTCAGTTTAATACTGAGCTTTCTTATTGTCAATAATTCAGCTAGGAATAATTCCATGCATCCTCCACGTTTTTCAGAATTGTGAGTAGTCAAATCGTTTGACAAAATAGCTATCTGGTTTTGAGAAAAAAACAATTTTGCAAAGAAGTGGTGTACCGTGGTGCTGATTAAAAAACAGTCGTCATTCCATCATGTCTGACTATAAAAGCAAACGATAGGGGCGTCAAAATGTCAGACTGCATATAAAGTAAATTAATTGCGGCTGTTTGGAATTCACGGCACTATTTTGCAGCCGATACAGTTAATTATTAAAATGGGCGTCATTGTCGCGCATCGTCTATCGAATAGCAATTTGTTAATGGCTATTACTCAATTTCGTTTTTGACACTCGTTTTTACGAAGGGTCTGTTTTCACACTGCAGTAATCAATAACTCAATAAATCATATGCATATTTCGTCACTATAGTGCAGCACGTGCTGATGAAGAATATGAAATGAGGGTAGAAAAAAGAAATATCTCCCATCTCCCATTCTTCCGTTTTCAGAGCACCCATTTCTTTCACATTACGGGGGCTGCATTCCAAGGCACGACAATGCTAAGGATTTAATATGCCCGAGCCGCACGGTTCATTTGGTCTCAGAGGAGAGCAGAATTTTAATGGGAACCATATACGACAATATCATCAATTGAAAGTTATGCTATGAAATAAAATCGGTTTTTAAAAGATTACTTTGAATCTTGCTTACTTCAGACTCTAAGATTACCATTAACAAACAGTTTTGACTTTTGCGACGTTGGACAAACTACGTTTGTATGAAACCGGGCAATGAAATGGGCTGACGGATTTCAAATATTTCTCTGCCAATTCTAATGATTGTTTCTCAGGATGGGTCTCAGAAGA